AAATATTTAGAATTAATATAACAACAAAACTCCATGTTAGATCTTGTGTAATGAGTAAAATTGCAAATAGAGGGAAATAAATTGCCTAAAATGAATTAGAAAGTGAAAATCAATGCATTATATCTCTAGTCAAGAAAAAGAACCAATTTTATGTCAAGCAGAAAAAAGTAAAAAGAAAATAAAAAATAAATCAAAAAGGAAATCAATACAAATCAATAACAAAAAAGTTTTCTTGATTATACATAAAATAAATCAAACTTGTACAAGATTGGATCTATTAAAATAGAAGGCAAAATAATTCTGATAATGCAAAAAATAATACTGAGAATGTTTATGAGTAAATATGTGATAGAATTATTTCTACATCAAAGGAAAATACTAAGAAATACTTTAGGCTAATAAATCAGAAAATAATGCAAACACTTTCTAAAAATACAAGTGACCAAAACTAATTAGAAGAGTAGAAAAGTTAAAGATATTATTAATTATATCTAACCAGTATTTTAAAAATCTACATATAAAAAAGCACCAGGACCACAGCCTGTGCAAACAGGTAGCTTTCTTCCAAACCTTCCAAAATATTTAATCCTCACACAATATGGCTAAAGGAATTCCCCCAATGCAGTTATGATACCAAAAAGTTTCTATTTACAGTGGAGAAAATGCATGTCCTGAGGGGAGTCCCAGCCTTATAAAGAGGGTCCTGCAAACAGGCAGTCCTGGGGAACATAACAGTCCCAGAAGAGGACATCCATATGTGGGAGGATGTGACAGCTAGGATAGCAGATTAGTTATTTATAGGGAGTTGATAAACAGGTAAATATGCTAAAGAAAATAGGAACTGAGTTTCTTACTTTTGAAGACATCTACAAACATGGAAAGGGAAATACAGTACAGTATTTCCACTGTAGTGTTGGACAGAACATCAGTTTTCTGTTTTCACAGATGATAGATGGAAGGGTCTCCCCTTACTCTGTGACCTAGAGGGCTGGGCAAAATACTTTCAATGGGTATGAACAAACCTAGCAATCTTGTTTCTAAATTCCATTCTCCATCAAAAGGAATAAAATTTCTAAGAGAAGTAAATGGATAACTCCCAATCTGAGACAGGGAATGCATGATTTTTTTCTTCGAGAATGTAAGAAAGTCCTTCAAGTCTAAAGGGGTATGTTTAAGATATAAAAGTCAGCTTAAGGAGTTCTCCCTAGCCAAATCAGGGCCATTTGAGTATGTGTATATATAATGAAAACAAAAGAAAATAACATGTGGGTCCATATGGACAAAATAGGTAAACAAAATTTTGATGAAGACTCCAATATTTACAGAATTTCAAAGTATCTCCATGCAGGTTATTTTTTTTTATTATAAAAGGGAAGATTAAAATTTCACAGTAGAGAAGTATGGCAGAAAAATCCCCTTAACCAAAGTGAACAATTACAAAATAACAAGGATAACTTGAAATTTTGTGTCTTCCAATAGGTAACATACCATTCCTTCTGTGATATTCCTGCCAAAATATATAATTCAAATTTGATGATAAAGACACAGCAAATTCCAGCTGAGGGATTTCTACAAAACAACAAAACAGGCCCATATACTTCAATTGCCAAGATTATGAACGTCAAGCAAACACTAAAGGAACTGTTTGAAGACAGAAAGAAAGAATTAGATGAACTCAAATTTGTGTCTGCAATTTTTCGTTAAGTTTGAGATTATTTCTAAAGAACTTGGCATAAACTCAAAACCCAATAATAAAAATGTAGAAGCATTTCAGTCAAATCCCCTTTATGTCAAAAGATACAAAAACTATCAAATTTTAGCCAGAAAAAAAATGTATTTAAAACAATTCATCATCAACAATAAGTATTTGTGACAGGAATACAATAGTTAGAAATTAGAAAAATCTATTTGAGTAAATAAAAAAATCTTAATCATATTAATGAATGAGTATATGATAAGTTTTAAGTCATTCATAAATTTTTCTAGATATCTCTAAGCTAGAAATAGAAAGGAAATTAAGTAACCCAGTTAAAGGTAATTATAGGAAAAAACCTAATAGCAAGTATCACATTGGAAAAACTTTAAAAATTAGTCCTTTCAAAATCAGAAATAAGAAAAAGCAATATATGTGAGGTCTGTTGTCACCGCTTTGACAACATACAGTGATTCCAACCAACATAAAAGCAACATTAAAAAAATCAGTATTAAAATTTGAAATTAACATTATAAATGCTATAAAATTATAATAACAAGGTATGAACAAGAAGATACCAAACTTMTTCAGCCATGACCATAAATTTATTTATATTTGGAGCATTTCTATATAAATGAGACAATGTTACAAGTGAGTATGGAAAGGGTAAATGCTGAAAACCTGATGCTAGTCTATCCATACAGGAAAAATATTTACATCTCTACCTCACATAAGAACAGATTAAAAACAGGTGGAAATSAAAACTTTGCACACTTGGAAAAAATAATTAGGATTAGAAAAATATTTTAAAAAATCTTTATAATTACTAGGATTAGGGAGAAGTTTTCAAAGCACTCTATTAAAAATACCGCCCTTAAAATAATTTGAAGTCACACCATCTGTATGACAAAGAAAAAAAAACAACTAGAAATATAGATGGCATTTGCAATAGGATACATGAATTAATATGCAGAACGTGTGAAGAATAAATCATTAAAAATAGAAAAATATTGAACAAATAATGAAACCTGACGGTCAATGAGAGCAAAAGATGTCTCACATCATTAATTAAGCAAGAGATTCAAATTAATGCCACAATCAAGTATCATTACATACCCACCAGAATGGCTGAACTGGCCAAGTATCATAAAGGTTTCAGGATGGTGGTGATTGGCAACAAAAGAAGGAAAATGCTACATAAAATGTTGGAGCTTAAAAGACATTTGGCAATGACCTTGATTGCTTTACTTATTTCTGGCCTAAGGAAGCACTGTACAGTGTCTGCAAATAGTAAAAAACAGGAAAGAACCTAACAGTCTTATTAACATTAGGGAAAAGATAAACTATTATTTCCCCCCCCCATAAAAGAACAGATAAAATGAATCATGATAACGTGTAGCTACATGACTAAACTGATAAAACATAATGGTGCATGGAAAGAGCAAGTTGTGAAAGGTTACAATGTTTCTTATATAAACTGTAAAAACCCACAAAACTATTTTTTTTACATATATAGTAAAATTATAAAACCATACAATGGCATGATATCCAGACTTGTTATCTGTGGAAAGGGTGAGATAAAAAAGAAATAAGTGCCTGATCTTGTCTCTAATGTTTGTATTTTGTAATCTGAAACAAAATAACAGGTTGAGTATAAAACTGTTAACATCTACATGAGGAAACTGTGATATAGTTATCATTACCCAGCATTCACTGCCTCAGATAAAACTGTCATTGGGTGCTGGTGAATGGTAATTTTTGCCACACAAAAACTTGAGTATCAGAGCACACAAGGAGGTCATAGCTGGTGAGGTAAGGAGACCAGTAGGCAGGTCATTTACATACTGAAATAAAATGCAGACCAGGAAGAAATGTCTTCAAGGACCAACTGTAGTTTATGAATGAAATAAATGTAAATCTAATTTCTACAGAATGAAATAAACCCCAGTAATCTCTCATATTTCTTCAAACCAATCTCATATCCACCATAGATTCTTGTAGATGACATTTGTCAGCACGGACATAAGTAACAATGTTTAGGTAAAAAAATGTTTACCTATTTTTGTTTGTTTTCCTAAGTGAAAGCATTTACTTCATTTAATGGTTAATCTGCAGAAACTTCCCTCAAAACAATTATACTTATTCGCTCACTGAATAAAATATGTATTGAATCTTTGTATATAAACACCATTTGGCTAGCTGGTATGGAGAAATACAATGAGATTATTAACTCTCTTTTGGCTCATTAACTGATATAACTACAGTATAATTATTTTTCCCATTTTATAAAGAAATTGAAATTGAGAGCTTAAATTCTACCCCGAACCACCATGCTAACAAGTTAGTAGGAGCCATCATTCAGTTTGTCGGTGACCTGAAGATCCATCAATTCACTGTACTGTAATGCAACGCTTTCTCAAAGCCCAGCAGAGATTTTCGTGTAAATTTCTTGCTCTTTCTGTTTTACATGGGCTGAATCCACCATATTTCAGGTTACATCTTTCCCATAAAACCATTCATTGGAATCCGAGTAGAAGAATACAACCATAATTTTAAGCCAGTAATAGCAGCTCCAGACCCAGGAAAATAAAAATCATGTTTGTTTTTTTTAAATAAGAAGTAACAACTATAATCCTCCACACTAGAAACTTTGCCTGAAACTTCATGTAAACTTCCTTACCTACTAAATCACATTGGCATACAGAACATGTAAATCAGAAGCCCACTTTATAGGTTAAAAAAGGTCTGTCTACAAGCTAAAAAACCTACCTAAATTCACAGTGGTGGACCCAGGCAGTCCAATTCCCAAAGCAGGCATGGTTAATCACCAAGCCACTGTTTTATGAACTTTTGGGAGACTCAATGAGAAATTATTTTACATCACAATCCAACACACACACACACACACACACACACACACACACACACAACAACTTCTACAGAACACTATTTACTTCAATAATATGTAGCAAAATCTTTTAAAGATGCTGGTTTTGAGTCATAAAATCTCCTCAAGACATGGGCTTTTAAAAATACATAATGGTTAACTGCTCAAATCACAATATTTATTAAAACAATGATGGTAGCAAAAAAAAAGAAAACAATGAAATCAAGGTCAGCAACAAAGTAATAATTAAGAATATAAAAAAATTGTTATTCACAGAAAATACATTATGTACATTGCTTGGAACCATGCATAATGCATATATATGAAAAACATAAATATAAAAACACTTGGGTTAAAGTAATAAGGATATAGGCAATTACATCCTTGTAATTTTATAAAGGCTTTTATTTTTCCTTACAAACTAGGGTAGTTCAGAAACCAGATAATAACTCCTTGGGGGGGGGGAATCAAAACAATTTACTTGTGTTCTTTCTTCTTAAATAACTGTTTTAGAACACAGTACAGTTTCCCAAAAGTTTTACAAAGTTAGCAAACTTTTCACACCAAAAATATGACATTAAAACAAACAAAAATGATTCTGTGTTTTAAATGAAAATTGGGAACTGTACTAACACTAAAGGAACAAACCTTTGCAACACATCCTAAAGCTACATACATTCAAGCGTTGCAGAAACATTCTCCTTCCAAACCCCCTTCCCTTATTCTTTCAGTATTGTGCCTTTGGGTCACAGACCCTTGTCCTGGGAGTCTCTCTGAATCCATCCCTGATTTCAAGAGGATGGGGTTGGACCACTAGGCTCAGGTCTAGCTCTATTCTCTTCATCTGCCAAAGCCTCACAGTACTGCGCTGGCCAGTCCTTGGGGTCTTGATTATGAACTTTGGCCACAAACTTAAGAACTTTCATCTTGCTGGTTTCCAGGTTGGTTCGCGGGCCCCACTGGAATTCGTAGTCTACCGGATCCGTATGGGGTATGCGCCGGTACTCCAAGTAACGTTGTCGAACAAAGTCCTCGGTAATGAGTTTCTTTGGATCCCCAAAGATTAAATGCTTCTTAGTGGGGTACACCCCCAACCGACGCAGAAAGTCCCAGACCTCGGTCTCCTTGATTGTGTTGCCCTTCATAAAGATGAGCCCTAAAACAATCATCAGTAGGCCCGTAGTGGGTGTGCCCTGATCGCCTCTCACCTCGGCATCCTCCTCCACTGGTTCCAGGGTGTTGATCAGGATGTAGGTGTTACTCTTGGGCTCAAGTTCCACTAGCTTGTACCCGAAGACGTACTGGAGGCGCTCCGCAGCCAGTTTGAGGAGGTCCGGGAAGATGTCCTTGTAGTCCCCGATGACATGCTTCAGTATGTCGGTCCGCTTGATAGGAATCTTCTTCTGGTCCTTAATCAGCAAGAACTGCACCAGCTCCGCCACCTTCAGCTCCAGTTGCTTCTGGGTCCGAGGCCCCACAGTGGGGGCGGCCTGGGACCGGCGAGAGCCCTGAGAGGAAGAGCCTTGGGTCTCTTGAGAGCCCGCCGGGCCACGGGAAGTGCTCGGGGTCTCCTCCGAGACGCCGCCTCTGTGGGCCCGGACGTCTCCGCCGCGGCCCGAATCCCTGTCTTTCTCCGCCGGGGAACTAAAGCGACCCCGACTCCTTGGCTTTTGCAACATGTCACCAAGCAACCGGAGCCCRGCGCCAGCTCAGACTCCAGCGGACAGAGGAACGCTCGCCGTAACAGGCGGAAGAGGCAGGAATTGTGGGTCCGAACGAGGCGCGCCTGCGCGGCCTGGGCGGGGCCCCAGAAGGCGCGCGCAGCGTCGGCGGAGCCCTAGCGCCATGCCAGGGAGGGGGCGGGGTGTCTGCTGGGGCTTAGAGGTGGCTGCATGGCTACTGCGCATGCGGAGAGGGGAGGCTTCTGCGGTCCCTAGGTCCAAGCTACCACTTCGGTATTATTGTGTGCTGTGTTTTTCAAGTCATTCAAATAGAAAGCAAGAACCCAAACTTGCAGGCAAGGGTGCGACCAACTTTTAGGCCACATATACTTTGGTATGTTTTATGGCCGTACTGAGTTCTAAACTCAGGTATATTTGTAAACAGAGGAAACTCAAAGAATAAATTTTGGAGAAAAATAAAGTGAAGAGGAAAGTGAGCCTGGAAGTCAAGCAAAAGTATTTATTCCTACATTAAATTTGCACATAAAAGACCCAAAGTTTTTCTACCTTTCCTTGCTCAAATTCACACCTTCCTGATCAATAGAATTACTTTCTACCTTCCTTTCAGGTCTATAAGGCAGGCTTTCCTCAAAAGCAATATTTCTTCCCAGTTTCTTTATTTATATTTTCGGTGTTACACTTCATTAGCTAGACTGCCAGGAGAAACCCATCCACAAAAGCAGGATCAACTTTTGCCAATAACTAACTTTGTTAAATGAGTAATTTTAATTTTTTTTTTAAATGAGTATATCTTAAAAAAAAAAAAAAGTGTAGACCCACAACCACAATTTTAACAGAAACRGCCAAGTGGAAATGTTACAAGCAGAGAAATGTGTTCAAGAGATTACTATTTAATATGGGGCATTCATGGTCAAGAATCCCAATAATGTGAAGTTCCTAGATTTCTTTATTAATTTTTTAGTTCTAATTGACACAATACCTTTCTTTCTTTACATGTGGTGCTGAGGATCAAACCCAGGGCCTCACACGCTCTAGGTGAGCACTCTACCGCTGAGCCCCCTAAATTTGTTAATTCTTAATATATTAGCCTTAGGGCTCAAAAAGAAAAGMGAAGAACAGAGGTATAATCCCTTACAATCCATGGTGTGTGCAGTTTGTATATTTTAAATTGTGCAACTCTAATAGCGGAAGAGTCATTTCATTAACTCGAACCATCAGCAATCTGCTGCCATTACTTCTACTGATCTTAGTAAATGTGCTTCTCAATTTACTGACTTGCAAAGAAGAAACTGAATTTCCCTCTTTGTCTTTTTAAAGCTACCCAGAACCTGGGTAAACTGTTCAAAGAACTAAATCAAATTGATTTCCTCTTTAATGCAAATATATTCAAAGGAAAGCAATTCAAAACACATTATTTGAATAATAACATCAAAACACAACCTTATTAAAATTTCATTAAATGTAAGTAGCAGAAAATTTTTGTAATTCAATATGAAAATGCAGTCTGATAATGGTACTGGAACTGCAGTAGTAAATGTGAAATCATATTCCATGTTGTGATGCAAACATGCTAAAATCTAGTAAACTATGAGTAATAACTTTCTCTTCCACACAAGATACAACATTATGTTCTCAAATGTCAATCTTAATGACAGGGGCTGCTGTCCTTTGAATGTGTCTCCAAAATTCAAGTGTTGGAAACTTAATCCCAGTGTAACAGTGTTGGATAATTGGGCCTGATATGTGATTAGATCATGAAGACTCTGTCCTCGTGAATGCATTAGTGTCATCTCTGGAATGGGTTAGTTATTTCCAGAGCAAGTCTGTTATTAAAGCAAGTTCAGTTGTCTTGCAAGTGTACTCTTTCAGTCATGTGATACATTCCACCATGTTATGACACAGCAAGAGGTCCTCACTAGATGTTGCTCTAGAACCTTGGACCTCCCAGCCTCTGAAACCATGAGCCAAATAAGATTTCATTGTTTCTAAGTTTCTCACTGTGTGGTATTCTTTTATAACAACATGAAACAAACTAAGTCAGAGGCCTACTAATAAAAATATATCATAGTAGCATTCATTTTATTTTACAGTAAGAATTTGTCTGCTTCAGTTTCCTTTAAAATTACAATTTGTACTTAAGTTCAACTAAGCCTCCTGCAATCTAATTCTGCAAAAGCTACTTCCAGACCAGTCCATTTGTAACTTGAGTCAAATAATTTCAGCAACCAAGGGACAGGGGAGAAATTAAAAATAAGATAAGAGATATTGTCAATAATTGTCTGGTATTTCAATGCTTTCTTGTTAAGGTATTCACTTAAACTATTAAGTAGTTCAATTGGTTAGGCTACCCTGTAACTGTAAGTCAAAAGGGCTGTCAGTGGCACCCTTGCTCAGATAGCAGATTGTCATTACTCAAAATAGGTGAGAAAAGATAACAGTTTTCAGTCTGAAAACACCTGTCTACTGTCCAGAAGAGTGAGGGTGAGAAAAACACAGGCATAAATGATAAAATGAGGTTTATATAATACATGGGAAGACACCTAAAACCACATTCCACCTCACTCTGGGAGACCTCAATATTTTGGGTAGAAATTGTGGCAATAAATACAAATAATAACAGCTAATGATTTTACAAAGGTGGATAGCATTAGATTGAAATTTAGATAATGCGTGGGGAAGTCACCCAAACCCACATTCTACTTTAGATTAACACTGAAAGCCATGCATGTTTGGGTAGAAATTGGGGTGGTAATAACATTAATAATAGTATGTATAAATTACAATGGCTAATGGTTTTACAAAGGTAACTATGGTTCAGATCTTCTTTCAAGTGGTCTTCAGGTACTGCTTCATTTACTCCCCGAAACAACTCATCGAGGCATGTGTGTTTATTGAATTTCTCTTCTAATAAGTGGAGAAACAGGCAAAGAGAACATACACAACGGTGTTCTTGAAGAAGTAAAAGCTTTGGAATCAAATGGCTCTAGATTAGAGACCTGTTCTGACACTGGGAAAGTTACCAACACCCCAAGTTTTGGTTTCCAGATCAATAAAATGAGACCACTAATCCTGGCTTCAGAAGATTGAGATAGGTTTGTCAAGTACTTAGCACCTGGCAGAATAGTTGATAATATATATTTTTTTCTTTCTAGGGACTTTATGTTAAGGAAAATATACGAGTGCTACACAAAGTTGTATGTGGTATAGGGGAAGCAAAACTTTATCCTCTTAAGAGTACCAGCTAGACCTGAGATATAAATTGGTATGAGACAGATTAACAGGAGAAAAAGAGTACTTTGTTTTGTTTTGTTTTGTTGGTACCAGGGAGCACACAGCCACTGAGCCACATCCCCAGCCCTGTTTTTGTATTTTATTTAGATACAGGGTCTCACTGCATGCTGAGGGTGGCTTTGAACTTGAGATCCTCCAGTCTCAGCCTCCTGAGCCACTGGGATTACAGGCATGTGCCACCGCACCCGGCAAAAATGTACATATTTAAGTACTACATGTCATTGGAGCTCTTATAAGGAAATGATGATATAGAGAAGTAGAAAAACCTAAATTCTTTTATATTTGAACAAAGAGAAGTAGTTGTGGAAAAGGAGTAAATTATATGGGGAATCTAAGGGAAGATAATTATTTTAACAAGGTTTGTTTGTACAGAATTCTCTTGGCTAAGGCTCCCCATGGAATAATGTTTCTTTTCTGCTGGTACCGGAAAGGCATTTTGCACATGGGAGTTTTTAATCTCCTATTCCCAGGAAGAAAAGAAGAGACTAGAATGCCCTTCGTGCATCTGCTGTTTTTCAAGTGCCTTTAGCTCAAAGTAATCTTTATGCCAAAGTGGCATATTTTGGGAGGCATATTCTGCTACCCCTTAGTAAAAAGATGTTCACAGCAATGAAACACATGCACATATCAAAATCAGGGAAAGTTCTGGAGGTATATGTCAAGGAAATATTAGAGTCATTTACTTTTTAAAATAAAATTCAATTTTTATTTCTTTGCTTGGGGAAAAAATTATATCCTCACTGAAGTTTAACTTTATGGTGACATAATGCCATAGAAGTTATGCAATTCAAATTTTCGATACATTCTACGTGATTTGGAATATAGCATTTGTGACTTTATGTATAAGGAGTGAAGTAACAAAGACAAATGGTTTAAAAAGAAAAGAAATTTTCAAATACTTTATGCTAATGACCTCCTTGCTGTTATTGACAGACCTAAAAGAAAAAAAATTGAAATTCTTTGAGGTAAAATCTAAGCTAGCTAAGATTTCAAATGCATTGAGCAAGGAAATGCCTAAGACCAATTGCTCTTTAAATGTCTCTAAGTAATTAAATGCTTTATTTCATCTCCTTGGTAGCAAATGCCTGCCTAGAAGCTCTAATCATCTTTATTATCTACTAGATTCTCCTCTTCATTCATTAGTATTTCTTGTAGATCCACAGCAACATTTTAAATTTTCTGATAGCAACACAGTGCTGAAAGCAGGTGAGGACTTTTGGGAGAAGAAAGGCAGTGATCAAAGCATGCAGCCAGCATTTGTGAGCAGCTTCCCCACCTTTTCCAGTGGATGAATAGGGGACAATGCACAGCATGTGTGCAAAGACTTCAGTGGCAAATACTATTTGGGTAGATAGCAGGGAAAACAATCCAGATTTTTTTTTTTTAAAGAGAGAGTGAGAGAGAGAGAGAGAGAGAGAGAATTTTAATATTTATTTTTTAGTTTTCGGCGGACACAACATCTTTGTTTGTATGTGGTGCTGAGGATCGAACCGGGCTGCACGCATGCCAGGGAGTGTGCTACTGCTTGAGCCACATCCCCAGCCCACAATCCAGATTTTTAATGGTGAAATAAAATTCCTTGGGTCCACTCATTCTGACCCCTCACTGCAACAAAAGGGTCCACCTATTCTTAACAAAGATATTCCCACTTAGACCACATGGTAGTCTTCATAATAACATTTTGTCCCTCCTAAACAAACACTTTGTAATCAAACAGTAGCATGGCTTTCCTGGATTGCTAGAAGAGGGAGTGCTTTCCAAGCACTGCAGCCATTTGGCCC